CACACTTACCGGATTCCCAAGGAACCAGGAGAGTGTTCAAACCGAAAGAACCGCTCGGCGCGCGTGTCTGTGCGCGCGCATGTGCACGTGGTCACGGGAGGCAGGGGGTTTGCAAAGGTGCAGCTGACACAACCTTTTAAAACTCACTCTTCCCCAAAACCGTAGCCAGGGCTCACGGCAGATGAACTGCAGGCTGCAGGTCTTTGGACAACTCTCGCTGTCGTTACTCAGGCTGCGCTGCAGCACCTTCAGTCTTCTGGGCGGCTTTCTGACAAAGAAACCATTTTTTGGTATTTCTAAATTGTGGCCTTTTACCATTTTCTTTTTGAAATCCGCCATCTTTTCACATCTTGAGTGATGTACTATATAAATTTTGTATTGGACATTATAAGATCCTAAAGTACACAACCTCTACTTGCCAAAACTGCTTAACTTAATCAGGGGAACTTAATTTGGGCAGGGTGACAGGAAAACCCTGAAGGCAATTTAGTTCTTCCACTGATGTTGTTAGAGGATAAACTTACATACACTTGTGTATATACATACACACACACTTTTTTTATGCTTCTTTAGGTGACAGCTAGAAAAGTTAATCTGCTTCAGCATTGGTCAAGGACCACTTGAGGACCACTCGGATGAAGTCATACAAAAATCAAATGGAGTTGCCTCAGATCTGGCTACGCCACTTACAATTACAGCATTAGAAAACAAATGCAGGGAGCCTCGGTCAGTTGAATGTAAACATCCATTATTCCAGAAAAAAAGAAGTATGAGCTTGTATTAGTGAAGCAGAAGCCCGAACGGTAACACTCTGTGGTGTTGCTCTGCCCTCTGCAGACTAGACCGTATAATCACATTTCACCCCAAATTACATACTTTTAAAGCACATTTAACACAACAGAATAAAAAGTCGCCCCTGTGAATTAAACATACACGGGCACTACCTTTTAACGGTGCACCATGTCACTGCAAGTCCTATGTAAGGTAAGTCAGGGGTACTCCTGAGGCAGTGGGCATTTTCTCCGTCTTCTCACCGAGTCCGCGCTTCCCGTGAAGTCCGGGAAGTAATTACTGCCCGAATAGCACCAACACCTGGAGTCCAAATTCGGAATGGAGTGTAGGAAATACTTATGTCTGTGACTGTACTGTAGGCCATGCAGCATTTCTTCATGATGGAGAAACAAAATTTGTTTCAACTCCCATACGCAGGGCTACTTCTTCCCGTCACAAATGCTGTGATTCCTTGATTCATCTCCCTCCTTTAAGTACAAAGCTCGTGAGAACCTGCCCTGACTGATACACAAAGGTACCAGTATCCCACTCCACAAGAAGTTTAGCTCTGTGCCACCTTCCACAGCGGCTGGCTCCACCTTTTATTCTAAGTAAAGATCTAAGAAATGTGGTAAACGCATCCACCTTTATGAGCTCTCTATAATTTAATGTGTTATCTGGTAAAGAATGTTAAAGTTCATTTACTTCTCAGGTATTTGCTACAACCCCACTGACGTGAGAAAACATCCAACTGTGTCTTATGAGCTGGGCAACACTTTTGTATTAAGGGCATCTCATAACCCTTCTGACAGAGAAAACACGGTCCTACATTGTTTTCGTAAGGCTTCCCTTGGATAGGAACAACACAGTAGAATTTACACAACACACAGCTCAGATTTCTTCCAACTTTTCATTTTATTGAGGTGTCAACATTTGAAAAATACTTCCCTTGAAGCCCACGTGCCAGGTCCCAGGCAGTATACGTGGCCCTCACAAACGAGCAGCACCTGACTCGCCTTTACTCCACGCCCTCCCAGGTTGGCTGTCTGCGGGTACCGGGTGTCGCACAACCAACAAAACTGGTCAGGTCTTGTGCAGAAAGAGCCTGGCAGGAAGGAAAATTTGCCTACGCAAGCTCCCAACAGAGTCCCTTCCCTATTGCGTGACTACCGCATGTGCTGGTTACATGACCCAAAGGCTCACATGTCAGGAAACAAGAGAATTGAACAGTCTTTCAACAACAGCTTCCAGTGCCTCACATTTGCAGAATACCTTCAGCACAAAATGGGAATGGGTGTTTGGAAAAACAAAATCTTTGTTCAATTTTATACAGTGCAGAGCTTGCAATATGTAATGCTATTATGCTCTGTTAAGTTAAATTTTATGGCAGGGCAAGATCCTTAATAATTACTCTTCCGAGCTATATTCAGCATCTGGATTGGATGCCCTCCACAGTTTGCAGGTAAAACAAGCAAGATATGGTTAGAACAGCACATTAAAATTTGACAGAGAGAAGCTCTCAAAATGTGCTATGTACATCGGAATCGGATTCCTGTCCCAAAACACTGCAGGAACACAGACTCAGAAAAGTCAGTATGACATTAAACCACTGACTACATTTCCAAGTGAATGCTTTTTGCATGGATTCTCATTTTGCCATCCTTCATTGCTTTTGTTTTGTTGAGGGATCTGCTACAGATTAATTCTGTGGGCTAGAAACTTTCCAAGCTTATCACCCAAGCAAAATGGAAGTCTCAAGTTTTCACCTTGCCCATTTTGCAAACAGAAATGGTATTATTTCTTCCAAAGCAAAAAACTGGAGGAAAACAATGGTCACATTTATACTTAGCAAAACCGTTCTCTGGTACTTCCGTTTGACAATGGCTGAATGGCATTCTTAACCAAAATTCTTTACATAATCCCTGCTATCTCAGATAACAGACACGGAAATATCACTTAGGGTCCGGTCTTGAAAACCTTGTGCAATCTTACAATACCTTCATCAAATGAACATTCAAGCTCTAATTCTACCTTTCTTTACATTCTTTTCATCTGAAGACTTTGGAGTGGTTTGCAACATGTAACTGAAGAAAGCAAAGGAAGGGAAATCAAATCCTTAATACCACTCCTCTTTCCAACAAAATAATTATATTTAATGACATATTAACTATTCTCAGATCTAGAAATATGCTAAATTCTGCAATGAAAACCAATACAACAAGCGCTATTTCTGCACATGTTTAAAATTCACTTGGACAAAGAGCTGTCATATCCCACCATTCTGACCAAGGCCAGAAACAAGTAACTACACTTGAATAAACACGATGATTTCACGGGAATGCGCAGGTTTCCACTTACATTTACCAATTAAGATTATCTTCTAACATTTTCAGTGCTTGGAGTGCAGCCTTAATGGTGTTAGTGATACAACTGCTTGACAACAATCTCTATCCTGAAAGAGAACTCTTTCTGCAGCTCTCTAGGCTAATGAGGCTGAGGAATGAGGTGACCTAGGAGAAATGCTGACTAATGTTGCCAGTAGATATTGGTGCTAATCCTTTTTACTTCTACACGCCTAGTCCTTTTGTCTCAGTTCCTTCCTAGCCTCCACTTTTCAAGTGCTGCAGGCTGTCTTCTTGTCATAAAAATCACTAGAACGGATGTCTTGAACTTTTTTTTCCACATGATTTGCTCCCCATGCTTGGTAGTGCAAACTGTTCCAGAGGGTGTGACTATTTCTGTTGGTTTGTTTAAAAGAGGGTACAGGAGACATGCTCCTTTTCCAAGTCACGTAAGTCTTGGTCTCAGGAACTGAGACGGGTCTTAGGATTTTCCCCGTTTCCTGCTCACAAGTTGCAAGCCTAACTTGTTCCCTACATTATGGCACAAGTTCCAGTGCAAATCCAGGCCAAAAGAGCATCCTGTGGGACTCCTTGGTCATCAGTTTCAAATGGCCTCAGAACAGGCAAGCCAAGGCAACTCATCACTTTTTGAACTGCATTCTTCTTCTTCAAGAAGAATGGAAAGTAGGTTTCTTCTTCTCTAGAGCCTGTTAATAAATGATATACTACTGCTGGGTTCTTCTCTTACCATTAGCACTGGGGCTATTCCATTCCCAGTTCTCTGGGAATGGAAATCGCTCAGGCCCACCTGAAGAAAACCCAGGAACACTTCTACTGCTTACAGTCCACATGGGGGCTATCTCTTCCCAAAGGACAGAAAGGCGAGAAAACCTCTTCCAGTAGCTGACTGAGCATTAATCAACTGGTCTCTGGGTCCCTCTGTTTCCTGAACCGGCACTTTTAGACTCTAGCAGTTGAAACTTCAGCCTGAATCACTAATTGCATTGAAAACAATACATGACCCTAAATATGCCTATACCATTAATGCCAAGCAGTACCTCTCCCAAAGCCAACTCACCTCTGATCCTCCTAGCAAGGCGGTGTGTGGCACTGGCACACGCGCTCTATGGTGCTGAAGCATGGTGTATGTAAGCACTTGCCAGGCCTCCCAGGCACACTGCTGGTCCCCTGCAGGTTCTAAAAAAACACTCACAGAGGGGGAAGGTGAGCAGGACGCAGAGTACATTATGCCTCTGGTCACTACCAGGATCTGCTCTTTCAGAGGGGTACAGCCAAAGCGATGGATTCGAGAGATGACCTCTATAAGAAAGACTGCACAATTGTTTTGGAATAACTGAGAAAAAGAACAGATTGACAATGCACAGATTAGGTCCATGAGCAAAACTTCACAAAAAAATAAATGGCTCCGTGTAGCTAGAATTGCACATAGTAAGTAATTTTGAATTTATCTGTACAGCATCACATACTGCACAGCAAAAACATTGACAGACTTCCCATTTTGAGACACTTTTCAATGTAGTAATTGCCAGGACTGGTAATCCTTTCCTTCCTCTCTGCCCACCCAAACCCCAAATCTATCTCCTGTGTTATTTATACATAATGAAAAGAAAGAGCTCATAAACTATAGTGACATTAACTGTAATCAAGACAATTCACCAAGCAACACGATACTGGAAGTAGTTTTACGATGTTACTGGGGGAAGGCAGTGTGTTGAAACAGGACAGTTACACTTTCTGAATATGTAGTATTTTGAAGTGAAGCTGAAGTGAAAGCTAACGGAAAGTGAAAAAAATGCAAATTTGAACATCAGTGGGGATATATATTTTTTCACTCTTAAAAGCCTGAGCCTTTTTTCCCCTGAAAATATTGTTACAAGAGTCATATATTCTTCAGAATCTCTTTAAAATTACACAATATTTAATAATTACACAATAACTTGATCACCTCTTGCAGTGAAGGCTGAAGGGAAGTCCAAGAAATTCACTGTGGTAAAAGTCTTTAGTCAGCAGAAAGTGCTTTGAAGAAAGCAGTAGGAACTGGAAGGAAATTTCCAGCACCTGCAGTTTTTGGCTACTGGTGGGTAAAAGAAAGTAAAGTTTTGGGGTGTGCTGAAACCTTGGAGGTGAGAGCTGATCTCGCAGTAATTTTTTAAGAGATCTACAACCACTTGCTCATTAACAGCTATGAGCAAAGCAGAACAGCAGTATTAATTTCCGTGCAGGAATTCATACGCTTGTGTATCATGGCTGCATCCCAACCCACCATTTTGAGTCCAAGATTTAGCAGACATGGGAAATAAGGCTCTCTGCTAGATATGAGGAACAGTTTCAAGGTGCTTTGCCCCATGCCTAAATCTGTCAATTTTCTCTTCCTTTCTTTAACAGTACTGAGTATGAGCTTTAACCTCATTTAGCTTCCAGAAAGCCTCCAAACTGATTGTTTCTTCTAATAATTCAACTCCCCATATTGGTTGCAAGACAGTTAAACTGAAAAAAGTTTTCAGGTTGAAGTCTGGGTGTTATAATCTATTTCTAGATTAAGTATTCAGGTTTCCATCTGTTCTCAGAAATCCGTGTGGGAAACAACTTGAGTTTATGACCTGTTTCCACACAAGTAGGTATCACACAGAAGAGGACTTCATTCTGCATGTTTACCACAAACCCACCGAAGCTGCTGGTCTGTTTGGAGGTCGGTTAGTCCATCAATGGATCTCCAGCTGCACTGACAAGCATATGCTCGTGCTCCTTTCTTCTTTATCATCTTCGCTCTTAGTTTACTGAGCTCAGGCATGTTATTCCTGCCAATCAAGTAAATTCAGTTTAGGACCATGCATTTTTTTTTAAAGAAAAAAGATTCAGGAGCCCATTTCAATTCAGAAAAGCTCTTAAGAACATTCCTGAGTACCACTGTTATGAACTAATTTAGGGATATGTTTACATTCTGTTTTGAACACAGTCCTTTCCTGAGAGCAGTCTTGGTGCGTAGTTGCTGTATTCTCAGATCAACTGGAGATTGATGTTTGTGTAAGCAATGTTCTTTGTTGGGTTTAGAGACCCTATGTCAGCCTCCAGAGAAACAGTTGGGAAGAAAACCAGGTAGAGTTACTTCTTGTGTCAAGAAATTATCCCAAAATGTATTTATCTTACCAAACTTACTGTAAAAATCCCTATGCAGAACGGGTACAACTAGACAGTTAAACTTTTCATCAGGAACTGTTACTCAGGATGGTGTTAAAGTGACTGAAATGAAATGGCCATCAGAGACAAGAATGTACATCAAAGCACAAATAATTCCTGCGCAAGCATCAACCGCAACAAATGAAAAATCAGCACGGCTATTACAAAACCAAGTTGTTTCAAAAAATAAGTGAAAATTAGCATTTTAACTACCCCTGTTCTCATGAGCTCGTTTTGGCCATCAATACTGGCCACCAAATTGCTCAAAAACAACATTAACAAGGCCAGCTAAATAAAGAAAACCCAAGACAAAAAAATCAAAGGAAGGATTTTTAGAAAAAAAGGTCAGACACCTATGTTTAATCTTCAAGTTTGCTTTTTAAAATTCAGGTTGGTCAAAATAAATAGCTAAATATCTTGCTAAAGATTACAGATTTTAATCAATGTTACAAATATCTGATACTAATGCCTTTCATATCTTTTTAAAAATGTAATTAATTTCAAGATCTCAGATGCAGAATAATTTAGACCTTGAGTAAATAAAAGAATCATATTTAACTTCTCTAGCTACCAAACTCATCTCAGGAAACTAGTGCTACACTGTGTTTTTAAAGCTGCTTTAAATTATGGGAAAATAAGATTTTAATTCAATGAGAAATACAAATTTCTTATCTGGAAGGAAAATACAAGAAAAACCTAACCTGTAATACAAGAAAAAAAATGGAATAGGAGATGATGTATCTATCCATGACTGTTCTGCTCCAGTGGTCACACCTCCTGGTGGCCAAGCACATACTCTGAACACATCCACTACCTCCATTAGTTAACAGGCACATACGGAGGCTTTACTAAAATAAGAGGAATTCAAATTCAATGTCTGTATTAGGAGCATGCCTACTACACCACCCTTCACTAAGTCTTGGAATTAGATAGTTTTAGAGAAACTGGAAATAAGAACTCCCTAAGTCTTCAATAAAATTGAAATAATTTAAGTAAAAGACATCACAATGTAACAAGAAAACAAAAATCCTGCCCCTCCACTTAATCAAACCTTGCTTCAAAAAGAAGTCTGTTAAGAAATCAAACTATTTCATTTTCGCCGAACATGACAGCATAATACTTGATACTGGAAAAAAGAAAATCTGACTTGAAACATTCACAGTCTGTGTGACTGAAGGTATGGTGAGAAGTAGATGCTGAACTGTCTGCATTTCTTTTGTAGGCATCCTGCAATGGCCAGAGGCCAACCCATCACACAGGTTTTCTGATTATTTCAGCAGGAAAGTTGCCTTTTGATCCATGAAACTTTAATTCTTTTTAAAAGCAGAGAGGGAGAGTGATGGGGGAAGAAATGGAAAGGCATGAAAACAGACTATGGGAGATGTTGCATCCCTCCCTCTGCAGACTTTCCCACCTGATCACCGAATGGCTTGCGCACGTGCTCCTTTTTTGGTAACACAGGACTTTTCATCTTTCCCTTCCTCTCGAGCCCCAAAGCACAGTAACACAATACTAATACCAAACCCACTTCAGACATACCTGAAAAAAAGATAATCACAGGACTGATCCCAGATGTAGTCATTGAAAAGTGACACATGGAAGTCACAAGCAGTACAACGTAGTTGATCACATGTTCTGGTCAAAAAAGAACAGAAAGCTCCAGGGACTTGTTACAATCAGAAAAGCTACACAGATCATAACTGTTTTAAAGTACAGCACTCAGAAATACTAGAAGCAGGGTTACCCTGTAATCTTAATTTTTTCACATCTCTGGAACATTCATTATGGTATGTGTTTTAACTATATGATCATGTATTATTTTTACAGGTTCCTAACCTCACTGAACACATAAAATAAACTGATACTCTCTTGATATATTCTCTTTGGTCTTCCTCACCAGTATGGCACCTGATGAGCATCCAAATATGCATCAAGTGCATAATTACTTACTACAAAAAGTCCCACATGGAAATGCGATAATGTTCTATAGGATGTTGGGGATAAATCTTTAAAGTACCTCTCCTACTACGTTCAGCTGCAGTTGCAAAACACTCTGGCTCTTTTCAGTTCAGGCTCTGGGATGATTTAAACCAGCCCACTGATTTAAGTCACATGTTCAGATGAATATAGGGCTGCCCCGTCCAGTTCAAATGCAGAACCCACAGAAACACAGTTGTAAATTAAAATAATGATAAAGCAAGTAGAACTTTTTTTTTTCACGTTTCCTACCTTTTTGAAACATTTGTTCCTATGCCATATGGCGAAGAGCTTCCACCTAGGTACACTGGACAGCATCTATATGGTTTTCATTAAAAAATATTAAATTATAGCAGAACATTTTTGAGAAAGTAGTGCAATGCTTCTCCTAGTTTAACAGCATGGCATTTCTAAAATAATATTCATTAATTTGGGGCAAAGCATCCAAATGCTTACAAACTATAGAATTTTAAAACTTCCATTACCAAGGTGTCAAAATAAAAACTCTACAACAACCACTCTCTATACCATATATGCACGGGACTATATATTGCGGCATTTGATGAAGTTGTATGTCCATAAGGCAAAGGAAGCTGTTGTTCAATAACTTAAATGATTAATAAATTTATAATAAATAATTTTCATGACATGAAAGCATATTAGTAATTCTTCAAAATTACCTTTATCTTTGTTTTTCTTTAAAAAGAATGCTTCCCTAAATACTCAGTTTCTTTCTTAGTTAATGTCAACACAGATTAAACAGTAGCAATGTTATTAGGCTGACAACAAGCTATAATCAAGCTATGTTCAACTAGTCAAAACATTTGTCACTTGCCTTTTCCTATGAGCCTGTACAACAGCACTGTTGCTCTCAGGTGTGAGACTTGCAGAGTCAGACTTCAATTTCTATTTAAAAAGCAATCGAAGAATAAAAGGCAGCATTACAGCAAGGTAACAATATTCTGGTTTCCTTAGTAAGCAGGAGAGAGAAAATCTCATGGATGGAAGAAGGGGACTAAAAACTTGGGAATTTTGTTGCCCAGGTTTCTGTGAGGTTCCTTGAAACAAAAGCTGCTAAAGTAACAGATAAATGAGGAATGAGGCTTCTCTTCCCATACTGAATTCCCAGCTCTGCCTGAAGAAATTCACCACCACATGATCACTTTGACTTTACAATCAAGACTTAGTATTTCATGGCCCCTGTTTAATAATTTTGCTTTTAAAAACAGTTTTAATTTAGGACCTTCTCCCTCAATGTTTTTGAGCTTTTGCTTTACTGAAAACACATCAAGGACTTCTATTATTCAAAAAGATAAAGCATCTTTGAAAAGTTTCTTACTTGCTGCACATAAAACAGTTTATTTGAATTCTAGAATACTAGAATTCTAGATCCTAAATGGAAAGTCCTAGGGATACAAAATGATAAAATTATACAAATTTACTGACATAATCTGACTTTCTTACTCAGACATATGTATTGTGGTATACAAGCGTTTTTTGTTGGTTCAGATTTAGCCCTTCTGTAAGAAATCAAAGACAAACAAAGCAAACCCAACATCACTCATGAAAATAAGACAATCTGCACAGGGGGTTATGAAGTATAAATAACACAATTTTCTACTGATGATACCTAAATGAATATCTATTTTCAGTGTCTTCTATCACTCTGACTGCCCTGACAATATAAATTTGCAGCTTCACTTCCATCTCCTGCTGTCAAACAGAAGTCATTTGCAGATGATACAGAATGGGGAGCAGTGGCTGGTATGCCAGATGACTGCGCTGCCATTCAGAGAGACCTCAACAGGCTGCAAAAATGGGATGAGAGGAACCTCTTGAAGTTCAACTAAGGGTAAATGCAAACTCCCACCCCTGGGGAGGAATAATCCTCCTGTACCAGAACACATGGAGGGCTGACCAGCTGGAAAGGAGCTTTGCAGAGAAAGCCATGGGAAATTTGGTTGATGACAAGTTGACCATGAGCCAGCAGTGTGCCCTTGTAGTTCAGAAGCTAAACAGCACCCTGGGCTACATTCGGAGGGACATTGCCAGCAGGGTGAAGGAGGTGATCCTTCCTCTCTACTCAGCACTAGTGTGACAGAAATCAGAATCGCTTTGGTTGGAAGGGACCTTTTGACATCATCTAGGCCACCCCCCCTGCTCAAAGCAGTGTCAGCTTCAGCAGCTTGCCCAGGACTGTGTCCAGTTGGGTTTTGAAAACCTCCACAACCTCTGGGCAGCTTGTCCCAGTGTTTCACCACCCTCGCAGTAAAAAAGTGTTTTCTTGTGTACACATGGAATTTCATGTGTTTCTCCCATTGCCTCTTGTCCTGTCACTGGGCACTACAGAGGAGAGTCTGGCCCCTTCTTTATTCCACCTATCAGGTATTTACACACATTGATAAGATCCCCCTGGAGCCTTCTCTCCTCCAGGCTGAACAGTCCCAGCGCGCTCAGCCTCTCCCCATATGAAAGATACTCCAGTCTTTTCATCACCTCCATGGTCCTTTGCTGGAGGCTCTCCAGTAGCTGCATCTCTCTCTTGTACTGGGGAGCCCAGAACTGGACACAGTACACCAGATATGGCCTCATAGCCCAGCACAAAAGAGACATGGACATAACGGTGATTAAGGACTTAAGAGCATCTGACATACAGGTAGAGGCTGAGAGTTGGAACTGTTTAGCTTGGAGAAGGCAAGAGTCAGGAGAATCTTATGAATGTATAAAAATACGTGATGGGGAAGAACAAAGACAACGTAGCCAGACTCTTCTCACTGGGGCCCACTTACAGGAGGGGAGGCAATGGGCACAAATCGAAATACAAGAAATTCCAGCTAAACATATGAAAAAACTTCTTTACTTCTTGTGAGGGTGGTCAAACACTGGAACAGGTTACTTAGAGAGGCTGTAGAGTCTCCATCCTTGGAGATATTCAAAAGCCGTCTGGACACGGTCCTGGGCAACCAGATCTAGGTAGCCCTGCTTGAGCAGGTGGTTGGACCAGATGACATGCAGAGGTCCCTTCCAACCTCAACCATTCTGTGATTCTGTGACACTTGACACTATGCCCTGTCTTGAACTAGCATTTCCTTTAATTGCCCATTACTGCTTGGGTAAGACCACCTCTTTATATCTCTCCTGTTCTTCACTAGAGGGTGTTGCATTTTCCTTTCTGCTTTACTTTTCAAGTTTATCCTACAGCTTGTTTTAGTTCATTTTTTGCTTTAAAACAGTTTTAGTTTATGGTGCTTTTCCTTCCATTGCTAAACCTCATCCATTCTGCATTTCTCAAGACTCCTACTCACCAGAGGTGTTTTGGCAAAGCTGCTGTCATTACAGATTTCATCAATAATGTCGTCCATATCTTCTTCACTGCTGCCAGCACTCATTAGCAGTTTCGTTGATCTGAAAACCAAACAAATCAGCCTTCATTTTGTAGCATGACCAGAGCAGTTCTAAGTAAATTTAAACATAAAATTAGTTACAGTCTTTTTCCTCTAATATTTCTGTTGTATCTAAGGTAGGCCATCCAAATTGTGACTGGACAGACGTAAACTGCAGGATGATACCTTTCAGTACCTGTTGAACTGTCCCATTATAGGTCTCATTTTTGCTTGCTTCTTTTGTTTCCAACCACTTCCAACCCTGAATAAAACTACAATAATATAACCCATGATTCATTTACGGAGCAACAAATTGGATGGCCCTGATTTTTCACATTAATCTTCAGCAGTAGGAATATAAAAAGTCAGAGGGAGTTCTCTCCTCATGCTATACAGCTGCAGGGGTTCTGAAGGAATTATCAATGACCTGGACGGGGGGATTGAGCCTACCCTCAGCAAGTTTGCAGATGACACCAAATTGGGCGAGAGCGTTGATCTGCTTGAGGGGAGGAAGGCTCTACAGAGGGACCTGGATAGGCTGGATTGATGGGCTGTGGCCAATTGTATGAGGTTCAACGAGGCCAAGTGCCGCGTCCTGCACTTGGGCCACAACAACTCCATGCAAAGCTACAGGCTTTGGGGAGAGCGGCTGGGTATAGCGCTGGGAGGGATGTGCCCAGGTGGCCAATAGCATCCTGGCTTGTATCAGGAATAGTGTGGCCAGCAGGACCAGAGAAATCATCCTTTCCCTGTACTTGGAACAGTGAGGCTGCACCTCGAATACTGTGTTCAGCTTTGGGCACCTCACTACAAGGATATTGAGGTTCTGGAGCGTGTCCAGAGAAGGGCAACAAAGCTGGTGAGGGGTCTGGATCACAAGTTTTATGAGGAGCGGCTGAGGGAACTGGGGTTGTTTAGCCTGGAGAAGAGGACGCTGAGGGAGACCTTATTGTTCTCTACAGCTATCTGAAAGGAGTTGTAGCAAGGTGGGTGTTGGTCTCTTTTCCCAGGTAACAGGTGATAGGACAAGAGAAAATGGCCTCAAGTTGCACCAGGGGAGGTTTAGACAAGATATTAGGAAAAAATTCTTCACTGAAAGGGTTATCAGGCACTGGAAGGGGCTGCCCAGGGAAGTGGTCAAGTCCCCATCCCTGCAAGTATTTAAAAGACGGGTAGACGAGGTGCTTAGGGACATGGTTTAGTGGTGGACGGGTACAGTTGGATTTTATGATCTTAAAGGCCTTTTCCAACCAAATGATTCTATGATTCTATGAATTCTTGCCAACTTGCATGCATATAGAGAGATCACCTGCACTTTGTTTTCACTCAAGTGAGGAGTCTTGTCACTCAAGTCTGATGTTTGCTAGCTCTTTGTCAAAGAAAGAGAGGCCTGTAGTACTGCTGCATCAACCAATCAAGAACAAAACTATTCCCGAGAAAGAGGAAACTCTGTGATTTTTTAAAATACTGTAATTAGATTGACTAAATTTAGGTGCTCATCTGACCACTATGCAAACAACAGGGAAGTCTAGTAATGTGGCCAAAGGTAGTGGGCTTGTTGGTCTTCTGGCTCTTCAAGATCCTTGCCTGGGACTCTGATCCTTGCCTGGGATGCTGGCTAAGCGCTCAGCAGCCCACCTGTGGAGACATCTGGCCAAGCCCCTGTGGTCCACAGACTTTCCAACTTGAGTCTGAAACACCAGCGAGGGCTGGGATGGAAACCTGAGGACAAGCAAAGCCACCTGTGAGAGCCAGGATGGAAATCTGAGGGTCGGGATGGAAACCTGAGGGCAGGCAAAGCCACCTGTGAGGGCCGGGATGGAAACCTGAGGGCCAGGATGGAAACCTGAGGGTTGGGATGGAAACTTGAGGGCAGGCAAAGCCACCTGTGAGGGCCAGGATGGAAACCTGAGGGCAGGCAGCAGTGTGGCAGACTGCTTGGCAGTACTGTCAGCAGTGACCCTGTCATGACTGGAACTGCTGGTATTCAGATTGTCATTTTGAAAATTGTGAAATTTGAAGTGGATACATGAAAATGTAGAGTGTAATTTATACGCTTACACTAGAAGATACGGTTAACAGAAAAAGTATGAACAGAATATATAAAAGACTGAAGCATCAACAGAATAAAATGTTTGAGAATACTATTGCTAAAGTTCTTCCTGATCTAAATCACAAGACTTATAGGGGCTTTATATATATGACGAGGGCAGATGTAGAGCTAAGTAACCCCTGATCCTAACTCACAAGCAAATTAGTGCAGCTTTTAACGCCATATTTAATCCGAGCTTGGGATACTCCCAGGGGACAAAGACTATCTGAAGTAACTCAGCTCGCTGGGACACGACTTGGCTGTTTAAGGACGATAGGGGATCTTCGCTGGCTGCCGGCCAGTGTTTCGCTCCCGAACCTCAGTATCTTCGGTTCCCGAGGGGTCTCGCCGGACGCCGACCCCCTCCGGCCCTACGGGGCGGGCTGCGCGCCACCCCAGCGGCCGCCCGTTCG